GGCTCAAAGAACAAGACAAGCTCAAACACGATCTAATTTCAAATAAAGCTTTGTTTGATTAAATGCTTTTTTATTTCTAGCATCACAGCTTTTGTCTACTAACCGAATAACTTGCTGAAAAATACTGATCTGTACATTTCAAATCAAGATTTTCACTGTGCAACGCCAGGTAACTCAGCTAGTGTATATTCAAAAAAATGTGTAATTCTTATATACTATGTAGCACAAATACATTTCACATGTGTATAACATACTAAATACACATTCAGGCAGTAGCAAAGGACAAAGTGAAAAACAAAAACAGTTAATACACTATTAGATCAAAATTACAGAACTTTTTAGGATGGAATTATCTACCTTCCAAGTACCAACTACATCTTATTTTTACCATACGAGCTGAAAGAAGCACAAGTATTCATTCAAATCTACTAAATATGCCTAATAATTATTAAATGGAAATACTACAGAAACCCATCTTTTTTAAAATTCATATTAAACATTTAGAGCTAATAAGCACACAGTCTTCTGTAACAAACGTCAAGCAATGACACTATAGAACCACACAAAACGAGTTTTGAAATGTACAATTTTACACCCATATAAAAGATCACTTTTTGAACTAAAAGATGTTAAGGTCATTCAGAATGTACATTCACAACTTGTCTCTCTAAACTCTAATTCACTACTTCAACAACAACAACTTTTTTTTTGCTGTATAATGCTTATCTAGTTTTGTTTTGCTGGCTGCTGAACTTGCATTTATTTCTCCCACTCAAATTTCAGCACTTTGTCAGCTTAACATTTATGCATGTATGTACACCATCTGCTTGTTCAACTGTCAATTTACTAAAACTGATGTTTCAGGCTACAAGTACATCAATATGAATAAGATAACATAAAGTTATACACACACCAGTGAACGTACAAACAGAAAAGCAAGCTGATGTTCCATCAGCATGTATTCACAGTGGTATCCAGTAAAACAGTGAATGTGATAGAAAAAATAACTTGTATACTTAAACATTATCATGAGATGCTTGGTTAGGCTAAATTTAAATATAGAAGTATGACAGCAGTCAAATGTACTAATAGACAGGATGTTCATTTTATTTTTACTTTGTGAAATGTGACTATGATGGATGTGATGAGAATGCAAGGGGACTTCATTAGGAAACAACAGTATATAGTAATAGTTGTTCACTATAATACATAAGAGTTGACCTATATGATCAGTTGTCAATTAACTATTCAACTACTAGGAAAGTGATGACCAAGCTGTTGTTAATGAATTTACATACTTTATAAACAGACAACCAATCAGCTGATATATTCCCAGAAGGCCTTTAAACTGGGCCAATTTTCAGCTCTTACAGCACCACAACATTCAGTTAAAGCAAGTCCTTTTCATGAATCAGGTATCCTTTAACGGAGTCTTAATGAATCAGAATTTAGACTTACACTTGGCAGGTACTATCCAACAACTACTACTACTAAAAAGATCACTTGGCAGGTACTACCCAACAACAACTACTACTACTAAAAAGATCACTTGGCAGGTACTACCCAACAACAACTACGTAGTTGTCGATTAGTAACTGCCAAGTGATCTTTTTAGTAGTAGTTGTCCATTAGTACCTGCCAAGTGATCTTTTTAGTAGTAGTTGTCCATTAGTACCTGCCAAGTGATCTTTTTAGTAGTAGTTGTCCATTAGTACCTGCCAAGTGATCTTTTTAGTAGTAGTTGTTGGGTAGTACCTGCCAAGTGATCTTTTTTAGTAGTAGTTGTTGGGTAGTACCTGCCAAGTGATTTTAGTAGTAGTTGTTGTTGGGTAGTACCTGCCAAGTGATCTTTTAGTAGTAGTTGTTGTTGGGTAGTACCTGCCAAGTGATCTTTTTAGTAAACTAAATTTTCAGGCATACAAAATACCAGCTATAAGTATATATTACATATCAAAGGAATGTATTGTTTCAAACAATTTGAGGAATTGATGTAAGAATTTATCATTTCAAAAAACGTTGGTAAAAGAACAAGTTGTTATAAAAAGTATATATTACATATCAAAGGAATTAATGCAAAAATAGATGGTTTTAAGAAAAACGTGCTATACAAAGTATATATTACATCTGAAAAATAATTGATGAAGAATACTATATGGTTGCAAAATTTTTTTTCATACATATTGCATATCTGAGGAATCCATAAAAAATATTATCCATAGTAAACACAGAAAAAATTACTTATGAACAAAAGAAAAATCATACTATAAATATCAAAACTATTGTACCATAAAAAAAAAAGAGGGAAATAACTGCCATCTTAAACAGAACTTGTTTTCTACTGATGAAGAGATTTTAGCTGAGTTAGAAAAAACAATAAAAATCTGATAACTGATTTATTTTTTTGTATGATGTGCTGGACTGAGACAAAAGTTGTCAGTTGATTAAAAAACTAGAGTCTTTGAATGAATTATTTTTATTTGTGGAAGAACTAACATTACTTAAAAATAGTATGACAGAATCAGGAAAAATACTATTACTAGCCTAAAACCTTGAATCTGAACTCAACTAGGATCCAACTTCAATATCACAGGCCTATACCGATACGTATATATTTCTATTTACATCTTTGGTCAATCTCCATTTCCCTCTAATAATTATGGTTTGTTTTCAGTAACTAAGGGGCTCTTGTATTTGTTGCTGTTAAAGTAACAATAAAGTTACCAATATATATATTACAAAAATAGTTTTATGTTCACTATCTTGTTTGCTGTCTTAAAACTTCTAGTCTTAGCTAACTATACCCACTAGCCCTAAATACCTTTACCTGATGCCTTATAATAGAAGAATATTCTTGCATCTTTCAAACAGCCATACTACAACACAAAAATATTATCACTAACAACAATAAAATAAAAAGAAACAACAAAAATTCCTAGTTTTGTGACTTGTTTCTCAGTACTGTAAAATCATATTAGAATACTTTATTCTTCCCTTAAGGAACTTCAGCTTCTCACTTTCTCAGAAACAACAGATCACTACTTACCCATATTACTTACTTTACATTGACATAGAGAGGCAAAAATATTATCTATCCAATTATTCTAGCCATTGGTTTTATTTTCTGTCACAGCAATTTATTAGATAATGTACAACCTACTTGCTCTGATATTATAAAACGATAGCCATACAGCATTGTAGAAACATTCACTGATGGAAAAAATAGTCAGTGAGAAACAAAACATGCATAAATCTGTTACAAATGGATGAAAAGAGTCACTGTAAATATAAATCTTCGCACTGGGAGGAGCAGAAAAAATGTAGAAAACTTCGATAACACAGGTCTGCGATGGTTTTATTGTCTTGAAATTTTTATGTTCTAAAGTAATTCCTGTACGCTGAATACCAAAATGATCTCCATTTTTCTCCATCACGTACAGATTTTTCACAAAAATGTCATAATGTAATACATAAAAGAAAGACCACAACATATAGTTTTGAGACCTTAAAACGTAGATTTCACAAAAAAAATTAGGATGAATGAGGAAGCATGTTCGTTTAACATAAACTTTCTTCCCTTTTCTTCAGTTTGTTTGTATTTTTGTTAACATACATAATAATAACAAAAATTTTAAATTGTGGTAAATGAAATAATAATTTGATCTAAGTAAGAGTTTTTCTTCTTCGCGATTTGTTAAAAATCCTTGTGATAGAAAAAATTAATATTCTTTTTGAAATCTGCGTAGCTGAATTATGGAAAATCTGTTATTACAACTTTTATGAAGTTTAAAATTTCAGGCCAGTGTAATTGCACTCTTTACAGGTGACAACCCTCGTGGCAGCACAGATATGAAAGTTTAACCTTTTGTAAATTATTCTTTGCAAAGTACATACCTACAAAAAAAAATGTTGAAATTCAGTTATAATTACTATTTTGACTTAAATTATGGAATTTCTTATACAAGCTTACCCTCAATACTGGAGAGACGCCCAGTGGGCCTAATAGGGTTAAAATGTTGTTGTAATGCTAATAACAAAATATTGAGTGTATATCACAACTTGTAATACATCAATCCTAAACTGTGCCAGATGATGTTTAGTGCTTACCTATTTTGTTCTTGTTATTTTCAAAACAGTTAATACTTACTCTTCAGATTATGGTCAACTGATACCCCAAATGCAAAATTCAGATATGAACAAATCAATACTTGTATTTAGTTTTTTGACCAAAAGAAAGTCATCTAGCCTAATTTTAGATTATTTTATGTAATTTTTGTATTTGCCTTTTCCTAACTTCCAGCTGTGTTTATATAAACGTATAAGATGGGACTGTTGCAAACACCCAATAGTCATGTGTTATTTGGATATCTGCCAAACATTGTAAAGTTAACATGAAGACTATGTTCAGAGTGTGAATAAGTCACTGTATGCATGGATGTAGCAATGATGAACAGTTAAAAGGTACCAGCTGGTGAATGGTTCCTTTCTTACCTCCCCCATAATACATAAACTCAAATTATTTCAAAGTTAGTCCCGTAATAAAGCTTGGTGTTTCTAAAATTTGAATATTTTTTTCTCTATGTACATTACACTCAAGACAAACACTAAAGCATAATTATAATACACAATATTAACTATTAAGGTACTCACAATTGATCTTCTCATCTTTATATTGTCTATCTTCAATAGCAGTAATAAATAGAGTACATCTATCTGGAAACATCAAACCATCTGGTTTCTGAAATATAGAACACCCAAAATGATGTACAAATCCCCTTTTTCATCTAAAAGCTTAAACTTCTCCTTAACTTGCTTAGCTATTCATTGAATGATACAAATAAAATTATGTTTTAGAAATACTTTCACTAGTTGAGCAACAAAAATTAGTTAAGAAAATTACTAAGTGATAATGACTACTATTTTTTTTTCAAAATGAATAATTTATTTTCAATTAAGAAATAAAATTACCTTTTGCTAGATTTCACCACTTACATACTTTTGAAGCATTAATTATAATACCTAATAAAACACAACACAGTTAAACCTATTGTGATATATAAATAACCACAATCTGTATATGACATATATTATTAAAAAAAACTGTTTACCAGCCACTTATCTCGTGCAAAACGAACAGTGTCCAACATTGACTCATATAGAAGACAGTACCCCATCCATTCAGAAATTATAATATCTACTTTGTCAATTCCATCTGGTAATTCCACTTCTTCCACTTTTCCTCTCACCATGGTTATCACTGCAACAGCCAAGTTAAATATATATACATATGTGAACGAAAGCTTCAGAATATAAACTTTGCTTAGTTGTCAATTTAACAAGAGAACTTGTAAACTGAAAGCAGCGATTAAGAGCACATGTCACAACATTTTACTTCTTTCATGACATTACAAAGCATGCAGGATCAACAGAAAAAAGTTAGAATCGGAAAAGAAACCCTTGGACTTTCCTCTGTCAAGAGTAAATGACAAAAAAACATTTACACCTGATGAAAGAAAGTCCACTTCCTGAACGTGCATTGGTTATTAGGTTTTCTTCTGATGCAACCAGTCTAATTCTTAGAATAATCTATGTTTTTGTGTCCACAGAAACCAGAATGATCAATTTATAAAATGTCTCATCTTGTGAAATTCTGTTGAAAGCATACAAATAACAGCAGCATCAACACAATAATAAGAACTTAAATAAGAGCTGTAATTATAAATCTTTCATTTAAGTTTTATTTTGAGTACAATAACTTTGATTTAAGAAAGAATTATAATTTTTGTGTTTGATTTTTTTTCTTACTTCAGTAAGTTTTTATGATAGTGTCTACTTTAATTGTACGTACTGTATCTGCAATACCGTGCTAAATGCTGGTAAAAACATTGTGAAAAACCAAATAGGAATGGAAAATATTATTCAACAAATAACTTTCTAATATCTAATGCTTTTGTGTGACTGTTATTCCAAAAGGTTTTATTAAAATTACTCCTGTATTGTCTGCATTTCAAAATAATACAACTTCAAACTTTTATTAGCTACAATAAAACCACTAGTGACAATATAACTCTTCAAAGTTTGAAAAGCTAAATTACTACTACAGTAACTTTGTTTTATTGACATATTTATGACATCTTTATATTTGCTAGATGGAGGACTTAATGTCAAAATGACATTATAACCATATTAAAGAAACTGAGTTAAAAAATATTGTTTTATTACACATTACATCTGCACAAATAAATGTGATACTGATTGCCCTAATTTACTTTTATGAAACCTTTTAAGGAAAAGGTTACTAAATAAACTGGAACTTATATACAACCAAAAGGAATACTATGTTAAAGTAATTGCACAATAAATAATTTATTTTACAATTATTTTATCATAATATTCCTTTTACTTATGTGTGTCTAGATCTATCACTCTCTTTCTCTCTCTCACTCTCTATATATATAGATAGATATTGAAATTTATTTCATTAAGTATCAGTAAATGCCTTCAATTTAAAATTAAAACTACTTTCTTAACTGAAAAGTATCCAATTTCATTTACATGATCTCTAAAACCTCATAATTAAACAATTATTTTCTCTAGCTTAACTCAATACGCCATAACCACTATCAAAAATGCAAAATAAAACGAGTAGAACTGTTCTATGCTCTTTAGTTTTGACCATGAAGTTCCAAACAACTTCCCCCAAAAGTTTATACTTATAACCTTTTCACATCTATTTCCTTTGTTTATTTTACTGTTAGCAGCTGAATTAAAAACCTGTCGAACACAAAGCAAAGAATCTCCACTTCTGCTATTAGACTGTTTACATGACACTTTCAACAGCAAACAAGCATGTGCAATGCAATAAGCTGATGATTCTTGAATATCACAAATCCCAGCTCTGAGAATACAGTGGGAGAAGATATATCATCTTGTTTATAGTACAGCAATTGTAAGGACAATTGTTTGAAGTACTAAAAGTGTTTGTGATATGGCTATGAACTAAATCTGGGCTGATCCAATAAACCTGGTAGATATTTGGATGTTAGTTATCCTCCCAGGGTGATCAGAATTTACCAGGCCAGTATAGGTGTATACAGTGTGTAAGTGCTTACAAATATGTTATTACTATTTACTCATAAATGCTTAATTTTTAGTTATTTCTCTTAAAAAATAGAAGAATAAGAAAAAAATATACAGAAAACAATTTCTGGTACTTACAAAACTGATTACAATATTAATTTGCATTTGCACAGTGTACTTATTAAGCCTCGTTTATTCTCTCTACTGCAGGAGGAAGACAAATTCATTTTTGTAGATTTCAAAAGATTTTGTAGATTTTTTTCATAAAACCAAAAAATTATCAAACTAATATACTTGTACACATAAAACCACTGTAATTTACCAAGCTTTATATGGATTTTAAAAAATCTCATTTCTGTTCAGAGCAACAACTTTGTCAATAGACTTCAACATTTTCAGTGAAACTCCAACTTCCTCTTTCAAGCTAATTACAAACGACTGTCAGATCTTTGTTTGTTTATAATTAAGCACAAAGCTACACAATGGGCTATCTGTGCTCTGCCCACCACGAGTATCGAAACCCAGATTCTAGCGTTGCAAGTCCGCAGACATGCAGCTGTGCCATTGGGGGGCCTGTCAGATCTATGAAGTTCAGAATGCACTTTTGATCAGTTATAAACATGTACTTAAGAGAAATAGGTGACAAGGATTCAAAAGAATAGAGTAGTGGGAGGGGCTGCTCTGGTAGGTTTGTTAAATATATTGATATTTAAGCAAATCAAAATAGTGGGAGGTTATTTTATATTCTAGCTTGTCAGTGTTTGAAATTTGAGTTTTGTTAACCACTACAGACACTGTATGGTAGGAATAATAAAAATATAAACTGACTGATAAGACAAGAGAACATACAATGTGATGCATTTAGTTTTTAATATTTTCTTTTGAATTAAAATTAAAACATATACATAATATTAAAGTCTGAATTACATACTACGTTTTCATGCCAATTTTATTGACATACGTCAATAATAAACTTGTTCAATTAAGTTTTGAAGATAACTCTCTAAAACATCATGACGTGCACACTTTGACCTGTGAGCAGTTGAGTTAGTTCATGTGGTTATGGCTGAAAATTTGCAATTGACTCCAGTTATGTCTGGAATCCCACCTTTAATAACTAGGCTAATATTTTAGTTGAAATTAAGATAATTTAAAATAGTCATTAATGTAGACAATTCAGCAACATTACTAATTCACAAGATATATAGAAAATTAAATATGAAGAACATATAAAATCATCATAAATACAAAAGCATGAAAATAATGAAGTAATGAATCATCTGCTACATGTCCCAGCTAGGGCTGTATGATTAACAATATTAATCAATATAATTAATCACCTATGAGCACAAATTACACTGATTAGTGTCACATAAAACATGTTATTAATCAAAATTATGATTTAACTCGATTAACTGTGTGTGTACAGGTGGGGATGAAAGTGCACACAACATGACCTTTTACAGAATTACATTCAAACTTAAAATTTATCATCAATTTATGTCATTTAAGTTGGCATCAAAATGTACTTTATATTTCATATCTTAATATTATATAAATTTTATTTTTTTTAATTGCAAAGGGAAATATTTAAATAAGTTCTCAATCTTCACTTCTCCACATCACGACACTTCTTTGCCCCAAATTGCCCATTTCCTAGCCCTACATGATCTACATAAATTGCACACTTATAATATAGATATTGCTAAGACATAATGTAAACTTATAGCTTCCAATCTTTTCACTAAAATTTCAAACCTAGATGCCATGCCTTCCTATCACATCCTGTCTTTCAAAATATGACAATAATTCTCTCCAAGAATTGTTATTGGGTTATTTTTAACCATTATAAAAACCACTTTATAGAGTCATTACAAGTCTAACTGAATTACAAGTTTTAACCCTATGGACATGGGTCTTCCTAAGGTCACGGATCAAAGGCCATGTCATCGCATTTGTAGATTCACATTCAAAACTTTACTGAACTACTATTTTATGAATGTATGTCAATAAGTTTGGTATCAAATTGTAGAATATAATTCAAATTATAGTATTATACATTAGTTAATTTTTAAGTTTAAAAGTAAATATTAAAAAATCCTAAATATAGATTTTAGTGTCACATGGTATGTTGAATGCAGCAATTAGATGTTTGTGATGTCCAAATGCAAACTATAGTTTCTTATGAATTAGATACTCAAATCACCAAGATTGACAAGCTAGAATGTAAAATAAAAACCTCCTATCTTTTCTATTTTCTGAGATATTAATATATTTATTGAATCAATCAAGGTGGCCCTGCCCACCTATTTCATCTTCGAAAATACTTGCTACATACACCTACTTTGCCCAATGATACGTGTATAATCAATTGAAAGCTCAGAATGTCCCCTAGCGGTTTTCTTAAGCCTCTGAAGTATTTGCAAGGGAAATTTTCTTTGCATGCTAGATTACAATTGGTAAGGTAAGACATTGATGAGCTTGAAAAATCTTATATTTTTAGACCCAAATACAGCTTAGTCGCTAAGCTCGAAAAATTATAGTGGAATTCTGTGGTATTGATATAGTAATTTATGATTTTTTATTTCAAACTGCATATACAAAATTTAAAAAAATTATTTTGCTTTATATCATCCACATACAAAATTTGATAAGACTTAACAACTTAAGGCAAGCAGCAAACGAGTAGAAAGTTCGTAACTAGAAAAGATGTTTTCTATACTTCTTTATTTATTATTCTATATTTTAAGACAAATAACTTACATTTAAAAACTTATTTGTAAATAATAATGTATATATATATATAT